TTAAAAAAATCTAAGCGGGCACTTATTCCCAATGCGGGCATTTACTGGTCAGACACCAATAAACATAAAATATATAAACTATAAATAAAATAACATAAGCAGTAAGTCAATATTTTTAGTGAGAAGGATGAACCTGACGCTTTAATAATAAATTATCAACATTTGGCGTCAATTTTGTAAGGGTTAATCTTAAATCTCCTCGGCTAATGATGTCCAGTCTGTTTCTTATTTTCGTTAGGAGATTGGTAACAGCGCTGAACCCCCTTTCCACTAGGTATGACGATGGAAAGGAAATTAAAAATTTCCTCGCTATATTCCATAATACGGGATAAGTAACGGGTATGTTGTTTTGCAGCCAGAATTGCTGATATCTGTTTTTAAACTGAACCTTAAGTTCTTCGTTTGTACTTAGTTCAGTCAGTTCCTCTTGTATTATGACATTCATTTCTTCTATGTCACCATATGGATTAATTAACCACGGTGGTATTACCATAGTCAAAATATCCTCAAACATAGATTCAAAATCTGAATAGAGGGCATTTAAATGTTGAACATAAGTTGAAACGTCGTTTTCCTAGCAGCTTGTCTGTGATAAATTAGGGAACTGAGAAAATTCGCCCCGTCCAATATTTTGCTTCATTAGTTTAACTCTGGCAAGAAACGCTGATAAGACGGACTTTGTTTTAATCAAATTTAAACTGTCGCCTTGTAATTGCAAATTAACCATATTAAATTTTGTAAACAAATCTGTTAAATAGGTGATGTCTGTTTTTCTCTTCATTAAATTTTCTTTTAAAATTGTATCTTTAGTATCCAGAAATTCTAAAATAGTCTCAAAAAGTGCAAAAAATCTTGTCAAACATAAGCCTTTCGACAGTCAGCGTACTTCAGTGTGAAGCAGTAATTGATGAAAGTGTTCGTCATTTTCTTCACACAACTGCGCAAATAACCGCGTATTCAACGCGTTGCTTCGGATTCGGTTCACTGCATCAATGACTAAATGAAGTGATTCATGCAATCTAACACTCAAATTTTTAGCAACTAAATGTTGTCGATGGATGACGCAATGTATTGCTAACACCCCTGACACATTTTGTTTTAAATAGCTTATAAATCCACGATAACGTCCAACCATGGCAGGTGCTCCATCTGTAGCTACTGATATTATATTTGATAATGGAATTGCTTTTTCAATGATGTAATCCTTCAAAACATGAAATATTGATTCACCTTTAGTGTCGGTTATCAAAGTTCTTGCGAAGAGCAGTTCTTCGTAGATTTATTGATTCATAATAAAACGAACATATGCCAATAATAATGCTGCATTATCAGGTAAAGTTGACTCGTCCAGTTGTATAGAGAAATGGGTCGTTTGCAAATAATTACATAAAAAGCTTTCAATATCAGAACTCATTTCATCAATACGTCTTTCAACAGTATTGTTGCTTAAGGGAATTCTTTTAATGATATCAGATGCAGGTTTGTGTAAAACAGTTTTTAAAACCTCTTCAACGGCTGGCAAAATTAACTTCTCTCCGATAGTATGCGGTTTTCCGGATTTTGCTATAAGTAACGAGATATTGTAAGACGCCCGCAAACCATCATCATTTCTTTGTGACGTCGAAGCGAACATTCTGTCCAGTGTAGGTCTCTTCTGAAACTTATCCTTGAGTGTTTGAAGGTATTTCAAATCTTTCTCTGTTTTATCAGGGTGGCATCTTCTCAGATGATCTTGCAGTTTAGATGGTTTCATAGCGTCATTGCCCAAAACTTTGTTGCATAAAAGGCACATAGGCGATTGTTTGTCCGGCAATGATGGAATGAAGCCAAGTTTCAAATAATCAACACTGTACTGTATACATTTCTTTTTAGATTCGGACATGGCATCAGTCATCTGTGGGCAAAATTAAATTATTTAAATAAGACAGAAAATCCAGCAGCTGTATATTAAAAATATTTTTTGATTTTTCCGAAAATATTCCATAATTCGAACATCTTCTTGTAACAATTAGCTCGAATTACGGAGATTGCACTGTAGTTACTACCAGTACAAAACTAAAATTTAATAAAAAATAATGTACTTACTTTTCTCCAGCACTCTCAATCAAAATAATACTAACTCACTATAATTTGTGTGATATACTATCTGTTTATATTTTTTAAAATATTTTCTTAGCACTTTCCTTTTCAAGATTCAGGAAACGAATAAACGTATTTGTCCCACATTCGTATTTATAGAGTGACGAATTGAACAAGTCAGTGCAAGGTAGCGAAGCTCTGAGACTGCGACTCTCAGGTTTTTACAAGTACAAAATGTATTGCGACCACAAAGCGAATACCAACATTCTACAACTTACACAATTTTATAAACATATATAATATTTTTTTTACTTCATAGGTACTTTTATAAATAATGTATATGTTTTGATATTATAAGATAGTATGATGTAAGTAAATAGGTACTATCAGTGTGTGTTGAGATCCACTATCGTGGCCCCCCATATTCATTTCATGGACCCCCAAATTTTTTTCGCTGACGTAGACCCCTTGCAGGTGGTCATAGACCCCTAGGGGTCGATATAGACCACTTTGGGAATCAATGGTTTAGAGGATCAAAATGAAAAATTTTGGCGATCGCAACAATTTGTCCTCGTGCATTGAATCAAAGTGTGACACAGATTTGTGAAAATTATAAATTGTTATTAAAGTCGATTTCCAAGTTATAGATGAACCAAAGATTAGCTAACAGACAGAACGATAGACCAACGGAAACGAGTGACTCGTAACATAGATGTCATACAATATGTAAAAAACATATCTCATTATCGAAATTTTTCGCGATTACAGGACTTTCTCGTCAGTATCATAGCAAGTAATATCACACATTTTTTTATCCTAGACAAAAATTTTATCTGTTTATGTCCATGAATACTTTTAGCCTCTCAATATCAAAGTAGAATGCCATTAATTCTCTTACCTTGTACTTTCCTTCCATAATCACACCTTTTGAGAAGAATAGAATAGCATGTAACCTGCTGTCACTCATTTATCCGCATCACTGGAATGCACGAAACTTGCATTGAACAGCAGTCAGATTTTCAGAGATTTTCTCATTGGTGTGCGAGAGTGGGGTTATCAAAAGCGAGTTATAGTTTATGGCGACTGTTGTTGCCTTAACACGTTGACTGCGTTACATGCCCCTGGCGATATGTAAGAATTTTTCCTATGAGACGGGAGTGACTTAAATCAAAATACGATACAAGCGCGTTAGTCACGAAAACGTTATTTTTCTAATGATTTCAATGTTATAGATAGCTTTCTGATCCTTATGACACCTAGTTTCATATAAAGCGTAAAGTTTCTTACATATCCCGGGGGATATGTTTCGCACACAATTAATATGATATTAACTTCTGTGCGAAACATATCCCCGAGGTTCTGTATTAACGAGTTTCAACTTGCACACTTCTTGAACATGTATTTCGTAAATAAGCATATTTAGTTGACCGTAAGCCACCGACAATGATGTCGCGCTCAGAAAAACTGCTTGAATTAGCAGCACGAAAATTTAAAGAAAGTAATGCTTTGAAATTTGAGAGTTCCCGGGAATCTACGTTTTTAACTAATAATGACTTTTCCGCTCAAAATGATCATAGTTCTCCTGGTCCCTCAGGTGTTACCCGTACTGTGAAACAAATTAATGATGGCGGTAGTGATTCTGACTTAGAATGGGAAGACTTTGATAGTGATGAATCTGTGAAAGACAAAATTTATCAATGTGATTCGAATGATGAGAGTACTGGTGAAAGTAGTGATGAAAATGAATTTTCTTCTAACGCTCTAGATAGCGAAGCCAATAACGATGTTCCAAGTAGGCCTTCAAGCAGGGCAGACTATCTCAATAATGAACCAGATAATGACAGTTACAGTGATCTGAGGGATGTACGGGAAGATATAAAAACTTCATCTATAAATTTTGATCTTCACAATGAACAATGCACACTTGACCCAGATATTAACCAACAAACAATTAAAAGAACCACTGATATTTTTGAGCGATTCATAACAGACGAAATCATTGACGTGCTAGTACTGGAAACAAATCGTTATGCAAGTCAACAAGTAACTAAACGTCACTCAGGTAAATCTAGAATTAAATCCTGGGCTAACACGAACAAGAACGAGATGCGTAAATTTTTGGGTGTCGCTATTGGAATGGGCTTAACACAGGTACCTGCTATAAATTTATATTGGTCGAAAGAGCCCCTATTTCACAATGAATTTGTTTTATCGATTTTCACAAGAGACAGGTTTCTCGTGCTACTAAGGTTTCTCCATTTTTCTGACAACGAATCCGCCGATATTACAAATAGACTGTACAAAATAGATCCTCTTATTTCACTCCTGTTAAAAACTTATCAACAAATTTTGAGTCCAGGACGAGTCCTTGTCATAGACGAATCCATGGTTCCGTTTAGAGGACGGTTGAGGTTCCGGCAGTATATACCGAATAAAACACATAGATATGGGTTCAAACTTTATAAGCTATGTACAAGTTCTGGGTACACTTACAACTTAAAGGTTTACACTGGTAAAGGCGATAGGCAACCTGAGCTGGGACATGCACAATCTATTGTATTGAAATTGCTGGAAGATGTGAATCCAAAAGAAGGACGAATATTATTAGCTGATAATTTTTATTCCGTAATACCGTTGGTTAAAATATTACTTGATCAAAAATGTCTGTATTGTGACACACTAAGATCAAACCGAAAAGGAGTTCCCAAAGAATTCACAAAGAAAAATAATAAGGGTAAGTTATTGGCAAAGAAAAAAGCAAGATAAAAATTATTAAATGGGTAGACAAAAGACCTGTTTTTATGATCACGACACATCCTGCTCATAATGCTACACTAGTACCTACAGGTAAGGACAATACAATTATTTTCAAAATGAAAATTCACAAAAGATAATTTTTATAGGAAAAAAAATCGTAAGGAGGAAGATATATTGAAACCACAGTATGTAATTGATTATAATTTGGCGAAAAAGGGTGTCGACTTCAATGACCAAATGTCCTCTTATCATACTGCTGTACGTAAAACACTAAAATGGTATCGGTAAGTCCTTTCAATAAATATATAACATTTAATGTATAAGTGTTTTAATTTTTTTTGCAGCAAAGTTATGTTTGAATTACTACTGGGCACGACTGTGGTGAATTCGTGGATTGTTCATAACATGGTTTCTGACACAAAGCTGAGCATTATGGAATTTAGAACCCAACTAGCTAAATATCTAGTAATAGAGCAAGCGTAAGTCCCAAAGCAGCCAGTTCCATCGAGAAAGAGGCAACACACTTTCGTGAAACCTGAAGGTCCAGGAAGAAAGAAGAGAAGACCATGTACTGGATGTTACAAAAAATTGCGAATAACTATGACGAGTCGCGAGGCTGACAAAAAAGTCCGACGTATAATAAGCTATTGTGAAGAATGTCCAAAGAAGCCGGGATATTGCCTTCAATGTTTCAATGAAACACACAACTAAAATATCTTAGATAGATAGATAGATAGATAGATAGTTTATTATCCTATTAGATCATGTTACATGATATAAGACTTGTCAATATCAATTTGAGGGTCATATATGCGTTTGAGCAAATATGCCAGAAAAATACTTATAATTATAAAATAAATAAGGACATTACAATTACAAAACATTTTAAAAGGTTAAATCACATTATAGGTACAGGTACAGTGCAAGAATCGTAATGTGTAAAAGTATATACATATACAGCGACTTTTTTTATCACAAAAAATGTTAGTCTAGCCGGTAAAAATCATTGAAGCTGATACAAAGAAAAGAAAAGCGCTAGGAGAATCTGTTGAAATACATAATATATAAACACAATAAACATCGAGCAGTGAGGACAAATGGTTAAAAGCTTAAAAAGAAAACATACATACTTTCGTCAAAACTCGAATAAAAAATGAAATTAAAATACATTTACTCCACGATAATAGACAATTCACTGATAACGAAATGATTAACAGCCTAAAGGAATTTAAAAAACAGATACTTTCATGTATTAGTAAAACTCATGTAGAGAGTAATAGCATGTTTCAACCAGATATTTCCTGAGATGTTTTTTCAGCGCAACGATATTAGTGCTTCTCCGCAACTCACTCGGCAGATTATTGTATACCTTAATGCACGCTAGAGTGGGAGATTTTTGGAATAGGGCAGAGTTATATGTCGGTATACTCAGATCATGCCCTATTCTAGTGTTGTATTGACTATTAAGGGCGTTGTTACGAACAAATCTATTGCTATGTTCAAATGCGAAGATGGCACATTTGTAGATATAGATGTAAGTTAATGTAAGCAGATTATAGCGTCTAAATATTTCTTTACAAGAGTCCCTCTTATTAATATTAAAAATTAATCGAAGTACTCTTTTCTGCAGGATGAATAATCTGTTAATCATTGTTGCCTGTCCCCATATGATTATATTGTTAGTGAGGTGAGAATAAACTAGCGCGTAGTACATATCTAAGAGTGAGTTTAGATGGATTTTAGGCTTTAATTTCAATATTGCAAAATAAGCACTGATAATTTTGTTGCAAATGTGATTTATTTGTGGTTGCCAGCTTAACTTATTATCAACATGAGTTCCTAAGAAGACAGTTTGATCTGAAAAGCTATCAATATCCATGCGTGGTTTCTTGTTGAAGAAATGAATTTCAACAAGATAAGAATCTTCATTCAAAATGAAGCGGTTAGACTGGCACCACTTGCTCATTTCACTTTTGACTTTCTCAATAGATTCGAGAAGATCCTGCGGTGTCGTGGCACTGACGACGATAGATGTGTCATCCGCATAATTAATCATGAAGCCAGACAATTTCAAGTCATTTATGTATACAATGAAGAGCAGTGGTGCAAGCACTGAGCCTTGTGCCGCACCTATATTCACGGAATATTGAGTTGTCATATAATCATTGACCTTCGTTTTCAATTTTCTATCTGTGAGGAAAGACTGGATCCAGCTGAGAATAAAATCCCTTATACCTAACCAGTACAATTTTTCCACGATAAACGAAATATCCATTATATCGAATGCTTTCGAAAGGTCAAAAAATAGTCCAGCAACGTATCTGTTTTCGTCTACTTCTCTATATATATATATATATGGGAAAAAAAGTCAAAGGTCGCCGTTTCTATAGATCGTGAGGGTCTAAACCCATGCTGGGTATCTGATAAGACATTATAGCGATTGAGAAAACATAATATACGTTTATACAGACATTTTTCAGTGACTTTAGAGATCATCGATAAAAGTGATATTGGTCTGTAGTTTTCAAGGTCTGTACGGTCACCCTTTTTGTATACGGGTATAACAATAGCTAGTTTCAAGCATTTCGTGAATTTACCTTGCTTCACTGATTTATTAATAAGGACTGATAGGGGGGAAGATATTTCACGTTTCACAAACTTTATCACACGCGTTGAAATTCCATCATTTCCACTGCTTCTTTTATTTGGAAGGCTGCTGATTACTTCCACGATCTCTTCAGTGGTGACATCCTCGTAGAACATTGATGATGCTACCCGATTTTGTGATGGATATCTTGATGGGTTGTCACATTTAAAGTGTTCTGCTAACTTGCTCTCTGCTATTGTGGAAAAATACTTGCCAAACTTGTCGGGTACGAGGGTGTCCGTAAATTCTTTGTCTTCATTTTTCAGCACTATTTGATGATGTTTCTTTACTCTTCCGGTTTCTTCATTGACTATTTCCCATATTTTTTTAGCTTTGTTGTTGCTGGATTTTATTAGACTACTGTAATACTCTTTTTTTGTTGAAGAAATTAATTTCTTGTGTTCTTTCTTGTTGTCAATGTACTGTACTTAGTTTATTGTTTTCTTTCTTATTATACTCAAGAAAAAAATTTCTATATGAACACAAGTCAAATAATTTTGTTTATAATTTTGTTTAGAAAAATGTTTTATTTTCAATCAAAATTTCAATGAAACTTGACTTTTATTGTTGAAAATTTGTACATCAGCATGCGGTTCTAGTTCCCGGAGATATGTACGACGTGACTCCAAGATGGATTCATCTATCCTATAAAAGATTTCTACATCAAAATGGTGAAATTTTGCAACATATCTTACAAAGATGGCGCTTAAGTATATTTTTACTACATATCTCCGGGGATATGTAACGCACAGCAGTAAAGACTCTATTAGTATACCCCGGCGATATGTACCGCTGTCAACGCCAAAGTACGGATTATTAGTCCCGCAGTCAACGTGTTAAACTTCAATCAAACATACTTAGTACCATATCTTTGTATGAGTAACAATATTATTCCTGGTACTCAGTGTGGTTTTCGTAAAAATTTTTTTACATCAGTGGCTCTAACAAACGTACTCGATGACATATTAAGAGCAAATGATAAAAAGATGTTGTTTTGAAAAGTCTAGAAGTTTTGGTACTTCTAAAGACTAAAATCTAATCCGGAAAAGTCGCATGTAATGATTTTTGGTAACAAATCTAAGACTGAGCTTTTGAAATCTAATCTCAATATAATGACTGATAATTCAAAATTGAATTTTGTTGAAAGTACAAAAAATCTCGGTATAGATTTAGATTCTCAGCTTAGATTTAAAGATCACCTAAAAAATCTTATGCAAAAATCATTTTGTTCTCTGAAAGTTTTGTATAATAACAGACACATGCTAAACAGGTCACTAAAAAAAAATTGTGTGAATCCCTAATTCTTTCCGATTTCAATTATTGCGATTTTGTCTATCGGTTTTGCTTAGATCAGGCAAGTAGAGGTAATATTCAGAGGGTGCCAAATGCGTGCCTCAGGTTTATATATGGTCTGAGTAGGTTTGGTCTTATATCTCATTTGATTGATTGAAGTTTATAATATAGGTATATAAGTGGAAAAAATATGTCAAGCAAATTTTATAGTAACCAGTATCCAAATTTTATAGTGATCAGTATTAATTAATATCTTGTTGAAATTTTGATTTACTTTCAGTCCATTTAGTGTTAACACGGGATTATTATTATGATTATTCTGTATTGTTGTTTGAAGACTTATTACTATTATTTTTTTGCCTTATTTTGGTTCAGTAGAGTAGCTTTAAACTAGACTTGCGCCAATATTAGCTTTTTTCTAAATAACTTTTGTACAAAGATTATTTGTTGTCTTTTATTATTATTATTATTATATTGCAAGTTAAGAGTTGGAACCAGGTAGAGTGACGCTGTTTTTACCACGCATTCTTGCTTCAATTGTGCATGTCTTATTCATTATGGAAATTTTAAGCGCTGCTTAAATAGAGGAATATTAAAATGAAAAGCATTTAAATAAAATTTTCGGACCTACACGAGTTTAAAACCAGAAAAATATGCCATGCATACCTTCTAAACAGTTCGTAAAGAATGGTTGGATGGCTATATTTAGGATGCTATTCCCCTCGAAACATACCAAGAAATCATGAATAAAATTATACAGGGTGTCCACGATAAGGATCCTATACATAGGAATCTCAATACCTGTGGGAGCTTAGGTTAAATTAGGATAAAGTTGCTTTCTTCGGGACGCATTTAGCCGTTGAGAAACTTCATGCCTTACTGAGATATTTGGAGAAAACTAAAATTTGGCCAAATCATTTTTATTCTTTCTGAATTTATTTTAAGAAATATCAAAAAACTAATGAAGCTTTTCCGTTGTCACTTTTTAGGAACTTATGATGGTTTTTAAATTCAGTGCCTGACGGTTCTTTTTTTTTCTTCATATGGCCCGAAAAACGTACACTTTATATCTAATAGCGTTTTTTATATGAATTCAACGATGTATCACATGTTACATTTTTTATTTTCTTGGTTATGAAGAAAAATGCGTTTTTTCTGAATTTTGTTTATTTTTTATAAGTAGGCGTTGCAAACAAATGCTTGACTTGACGTAAATACACTGTGACCGAGTATAGTATTTTTAGTATTGTAATATTGCTTTATTATTGTCAAAGATGCCGGGCGGTCATTTCAGCAATGAAGAAAAAGGTTCGGCATTCTGACGTGCTACATTTTGTGCTACAAAAATACTAAATAATACTGCAGATATATATCCTGATACATTTCTCGAAATAAGGCAGCCAGCCAAGTAAGTCCATTTTTCTTATAGTTGGCTCGAAATTTGAATGAATATGATTCATTCAAAAAGCCTGGTACGTCTCGAAACAAAAATCTTTAGAGGAAGCTCTGAATAGTGTTTTACAAGCAGTTGCTGAGAACTAGGCGAATTGAAAAATGTAGGAGTAGCCAAATTTATAGCCCAATTTATTTTGCGTAAAAATAGACATCACCCCTGTAAATTCATTATTTGCCAAGGACTTAGACCAAGAGATAATGAACGGCAGCAGCATTTTTATGAGTGGCACACACAAACTTCTGAAGAAATAATAGGGTCCGCCGAGAGTATTATCACTAAATGGTATCTTTAACCACCGCAACATTCATTACTGAGCTCAAGAAGATCTGCAGGCTAAAAAAGTATCTAGAAGTAAGAATGCTTTGGGTCAAATGTGTGGTGTGGAATTCTGGGGACCAAAATATTAGGTCCATTTATTTACCACAACTCATTATCTGCAGAACAGTACCTTTAATTGTTGCAAAATGATATAGACCACTGCCCGGACAACTTACCATTGGCACAGGTTAATAGAAGCAGGTTTCAACAAGACTGTGCTCCTGCAAATAACTCTAAGCAAGTATAGTTCTCAGCAATTTTTAAGTTAAACAAGGAAAATCTTTGTTGTTTTTGAAAACAATAGAAAGGCGGCGAAGAAAATGCCAAAAACGACGAGGCTGTTTCACTGATTTGATCTGTTTAAATACCCTTATGTACATATTGGTGACTAATTTTTTTCTCAACATGTGCTTGCACGTAATTTTGAGCAATCAGAGCTATTTTAATTTAGTACAACTATTAGTATCACCCATATAAACACGTATTCATATCCATAACCTATGATTCCCGTCAGCTAACATATTACCTCATTCATATCTGTTAACTAAACAGACTATTTACGGAAATTTCGTAATTGTAAATATGTGATACAATTAATAAATCATAGTGGTGTATAAATGGGAAGAATTGCAATACACTACTATGTTGTATAAGCTGACCAAATATAAAAAACCTTTATAACAATTCAAAGCGGCTTTCTGATATTCATAATTTAGATACGAGACACTCAAATTTATATGTTATTCCTACACACTCTTCAAGCAAGGTTAAAAGTAGTTTTAGCTACAACGATCCAACCATTTTGAACAAAGAGGTTGAACTATTTGACGAAAATTCCATACAACGTTTTAAAAAATACTACAGGCTATATCTTCTTAACAAACAAAAAGGTGTGTACGATGTTATTGTATCAGTTGCATGTACTGTAATCGCGAATTCCATTTATTATTCGGCGTTATGACCTTATCTCAATCTATTTATATTTTTTTTCTGTAATTATTTACTTGTCCATTTATACAGTTTAAATGTAGAATTTACTCTTATATACTGAGTACAAACTCGTAATATGTTAACCACGTTATTTAACTATACTAAGTGACATATACATCCGAACACCCATTTTAAATGGTTTTATTTTAATAAAAGTTGGTGAATGTATTTATCTTACTGTAAATAACAAGTGAAAAAATGTTCAGCCTTATCAGTTGGACATTCCGGTTTTTATACTGCTTTTTTTTAATTCACTAACGCTCTAAAAATGAATATTTCGTCAACTTAGTGAATTTGATAGGGGCCGTATAGTGGGACTTCGGGAAGCTGGACTTTCTTTTCGGGCAATTGCAGTTAGAGTGCAAAGAAGTGTAGACACTGTGGTTAGGTGTTGTAAGGCATGGCTTCGAGAAAGCCGTACGCAAAGAGCAAGGGGCACTGGACGCCGCCGTAGAACAACAGACCGTGAAGATCGCCGCCTAAGATTATTGGCCTTAAGGGACCGTTTCTCCACTACCAGGTCCATTGCAAATGAATGGTTTGCAGAACACGGAAGACCTATTGGCATGCGAAGTGTTTACCGACGAATGAGAAGTTTTGGCTTGTTTTCATACCGGCCACACTGGGTCCTCCCTTTAACTCGAGAACACCGACCTAATCGCCTTGAGTGGTGCAGACAACGGTAACTCTGGGATCAGGAATGGACAGTATTGTCTTTAGTGACGAGTCTCGATTTTGTTTAGGCATTCACGATGGTCGTGCCAGGGTTAGAAGGCGACGTGGTGGAAGGAGGAATCCACAGTTTTTTGTTGAAAGACATGTTCATCACACTGTTGGAGTTATGGTTTGGGGTGCTATAGCTTATGGTTCCAGGTCACCTTTAATCTTCATCAGAGGTAACATGAACGCGCAGCGTTATATCCACGAAGTTCTAGATCCCCATCTTTTACCCTATCTTGACACCCTGGCAGATCCAAATTTCCAACAAGATAATGCCCGACCACATGTTGCAAGAGTCACAATAGACTTCTTTCAACATAATGATGTCACATTGTTACCATGGCCACCAAGATCTCCCGACTTATCCTCAATTGAGCACGTGTGGGATATGATGGGTAGGAGATTGCTCAATATGCAACGTCCTCCTCAGACTCTAGAAGCACTTCGAGAGGAGTTGGTGGTTGCCTGGAATGACATACCACAGGAGGACATTGACCACCTGATCAGAAGCATGCCTAGGCGCGTTGGAGAATGCGTAGCAGATCAGGGTGCATCCACACATTATTAAAGGTCAAAGGGCTTTAAAGCAGTGCAATCATTTTGAAATTTTTATCATTTACTTATTATGCTTCATTAAGTACTTATACAAAATTTTATTAAAATAAAACCATTTAAACTGGGTGGTCGGATTTATATATCACTTAGTACAGTTAAAGGTGCGTTGGAATGAAAGCGGTGCGATTGCCTTGCGCTGAATGCACTTTTAGCGGACTCCACTCAAAGTAAGTTGGGTAACCAACAACTCTCAAACATAACGTAAATTAGAAGAGAGACCCGGAGGCACTAATAGGTCTTCTCACTATAAAGTAAAGAATAATTTTCCAGGTACGCTCATGGTTTACGAAATCTTATGAAGGCCATTGCTTTGGCGTTTTCAGAATGTCTTCGTGAGAGACAAAGACGCTGCATGATGCATGGCAATATGTCATGGTAACTTCTTCTTCTTCTTCTTACGAGAAAACAAAGAAACATACATATTCGTATTTTAAATTTATTTATCATCTGCCTATCATTATACAAAGTTTTTCCATGATTCGACTTCTGTTCTTCAAGGCTCTGCAGACCTTTACGTTTCCCTTAAATTCTGTCCATTTTTTCTTTATCTCGAGATCTTGAGGACCCCACTGGTCATGACTGAACATTGAGACCGTCACCTAAACACAACGTCAGTTATAGAAGTGCTCAGGGTTCTTCAACACTTTTTCTCATAATATGTTAATATTTTGAACGCAACTGCGGCTCAAGAGATCTCAAAATTTCGATACCTACAAAACTTTTTGTTCCACTGTCATGTCAAATTGTAGTTTGTAAAGTCAAAATATGAATATGGTATTAGAGATAGTGTTGGTTATGAAATCATCATCATTATGTATGTTGCTTTTATTCTCAAACTTGTATTGTGCAAGCAAGATAAAAAATCACACACCTCCTGACACCTTCCGCATTCTTGCTGTTTCATCCTTCTTATAAACTCAACTATCATCCAGATAGCAATTTGAAGTACGCCAAATCCAAGTACTGCCCAGCCCCAAACTGAAAAGGTAACTGTTGCATAAAATGTGAAAGAAGTAACTTTTTGACATTTTCGGTCCACCTGAGACTAGAAATGTGATAAGCAATACATACCTATAACGTAACTGGGGTATACCTTATTCAAATACCTCAGTGGCTCCAGTGTTGCCACGAAATAGGCGAAGACGGTCAACAGAACGCAAGGAACAATTATGCCCCAACAAATTCTCCAATAAGCGCCTGGTTTTCGTTTCAGCATGAACTCGATGTCTAAACATATCTCGTCGAGCCCTATAAATGTAGAAAATTACAAAAATAAATAATGGACTGACAATAAATAATTTCAAGTAAAACATATTGCATATCTTGAATCATAGTGAAACAACAGCAACATAAATTGAAGGTGTTCTCTGTTATCTCCAAATGAAGATTAGGCTGATATTTCAACTAGTATTTGAATTGACAAAAAGCATCTGATGCGTTGGAATACTAACCATACCACCAAGAGATAGATATTATTTCAACCAATGTCAATACGTAGAATATAAATGTTCCTCCAAAGTAATCCACCATTGTAAATATCCATTGCCCTCCCTAAAATAGTTTCGGTTTTAAAGTTCGGACACAGAAAGCTTTACATAGCTGCACATACTACCAGCACAGCAAATATAATTGCAAAATAACAAAGTAATAGCACTATCTCTAACAAGGAAACCATCTTAGGTGTCCATCGCCCCATTTATTCTACGTAAAAGTCTAAGAGAGATGAATTTTTCATAACGGCGGAAAAACGCTTTAAGAGGTAAAGGTAGCCACCAAATTTGGGAGCGAGTGAGGATAGTTTTGAAGTCGCACATACTTGCAGTTGTTTATAAACGGATGGGGCCAAATTAAGATGGATGTTTTAGTAACAAAAAATTTATTGCTGCTATTTCTATGGTTCCAATTTTAAGGGATATAGAGAATGAATGGGAATGTATGGGTTTTTGCATTTTTCTCTGATATAGATGGTTTCAAATTCGTATTACATTACATAGATGAGAAGCTCTTTCTGGACATCTTTTGGTGTATCAGCTCGTTCAGTCCCTCTTTTATAGGTCCTCATTGTACTGTAACAAAATGAATACTAAAACACAAATAAAATGTTAATTTACGAGATATTTTAAACTTCAAATTATATTGGTGTTGGTTGACTAACTATTCATCCAGCCCCGAAAGGAGTTAGTCTACCAACCCCAGACGCCATTTTAAGTTTCAATAACATGGGTTACCTAAGCACTGCCATGAACTTAAGAAATAATACATGAAATATTATCAATATGTACCCACGAAACACTCTGACTAATAGGCAAATGGTTAATATAAAAATGTGTAAATGTCAGATGGAAAAATATGAAAATATTACTTACATGACACGAAAACAAATCACGCGTCACTGCTCGAAAACGACGTGCATCCGCGACGTGGCGCTCCGGACAACTGAGCGGGGGTCGGAGAGTAATGCGCGACTGGGCCGGGATGACGTAATACTCATATCGTTGACGAGTTTTTGGCGGTTAGTCTACCTACCCCTATAGTCAACCTCCCCTATTGATATCCCACATTCTTACTAGTTAAGACATTGTGCAAACTTTCCACAACAATATGAGGCGGGTTCAAATCGGGTTGCCGTTGGGTTGCTTCTAAGGACAACAATGCCATGCAGTTAGTAGGTTCTTACTTACTGGTGTTACGTAGACCATTCCAACAAGAAATCCAAAGAGGGCTGACATCGCAGACACATGCCAAATTTTCAGATCAGGAAAAGAGTCCATGATTACAGTGACAAGGCTTGCATATAAGCCTACTAAGCTTCCTACGCCTAATACGAAGAGCATGAGGAAGAATAGCAGTGAGAATAACTGAAATTACAAGTTTGACACGATTTGCATTACAAACGTAAAAATAACTTCTATTGCAATTAGTATTCTGATTTATAAACTAAGCATTGCTTCAGATATGCCGGAAAATTGCAACCGGCTGCCGGTCAGCACTTCATTCGGGAGAGAAAGATGGGCAGTACATGTGGTGCGCAGTGGTAATAACAATCTCATAACGTGTTTTGGGTAAAGACGTAAGCTGGGAGAAATCGTATACCATAGTCCCATGGTTATTCGAAAGTCGTGATCACATTGTCACTTATATCAAAAGGTGGCGATATTAGATAACACAGATGTTCAGGAATAACGATATCGACCATCCCTATAGTAGATCACGATACACTAACAAACGTAATTGCTATATACAAGGTATTTGATCAGTTCAAACAACAAAAAACATGTTCTGTTTATAAGATAAATTAGCAAAACCCTTTTAAGAGACCATCTCCGTTTGCCATAATGACACGAGTGCGAATAATATCTATAGAAATCTCATCTTGACCGGATGACCGGTTTTGTAACACTTACTCGAAACTTGTAATTTGAGAACAATTATTATAAAGGCGGCTTTAGGAATCTGTGTAAGGGGGGTCGCGGCGTTGGTCCCAGCATTCATGTTCTCGGGAGGGGGCAGTGGCGAATAAATACTGAATAGCAGGGGGTGGGCGGCTGCATGCACTTTAACAGCGCTTCTGAGAGAAAATACTCTAGTGACAATTGAATAATTGAAGAGCGGGGTTCCAATGCGTATATGGAAAAGCGCACGACTCACGATTGAGGTCTAGTAAGGTAATTTTCACATCAAGATACCAGTTTCCTCCAAAAAATTGCTAACGCATAAGTGGGTATTTCTTAGCAAATTTCAAAAATCATGTCCTGAGCCATTGATGCTAAGTTGCATGGATTTATCATCAATTTGACATTTTTATTATATCAATAAATATCTACACTAATATTTTAAAAGCAAAAATTTAAATAATATATTGACACAAAAAAATATGATGAATTAATTAGTCTAAAAGCCATTCCCTCATCTCGTCCCTGGGTTTGAAATTAATACAAAAAAATATATACAATCAAATCTGTTCATATTCTGATAAATTTAATATTACTAAAATATTTGGAAATAAGTATGGATTGTACAGTCACGCTTTCATTGCTAAAAAATGGACATGTATATAAAAAAACCTATTTAAAGTATGTCTCTTGAAATGACATAATTTCCTCGCCCAGTATAAATATTCGATTTGTGGTCACACCATTTGATATTTTTGCACGCAGCTGTTATGTTTTTGAAACTTGGCAATACTGCTAATAATGTTAACATGACGGAATTTCTTATTAGTGAAAAGAGTTGCTGCAAAAAAGTATTGGATTTCAATAATTAGAACATTACATTTCTCTGTGTCATTGCCTCACTGTTCATATTAAAAGGTAAGTCATTATACTGTTCGAATGTTTTAATGATTTTTTTCTTGTTATGGGGAGTAAAATGCATTTACAAAATGCTAATAAATGCTAAGTCAATTAGAGGTGATGTAGTGTTGGTTACGGTGTCGTTTATGCAAATCCGTCATTCCCTCGCGCTCATTCCCTCACTATATTAGAAAGTGAGGCATTGAAAATTATATGAGGGAAATATTTTTGCATATATAAAATTGTGGTTTGGGTGTTATCGGGTTGTATAGCATGTGTTTTCAATTTTACCAGATATCCGTATATCAAGAATGCGTAAAATAAAGAAGTTAAGTGAAGAAAAGAAAAAATTGAATAAAGGAGTACGACAGAAAGTGTCGAGAACAAATGAAAATTAATGCTGAGTCTTCAGTCTTTGCGTGACAGAGAAAGGTTAAAGTATTTAAAGAAGAAGAGTAAAGGTAAAGTTAAGTCAGTAAGTTCTATGAGTGCAAGAGAAACTAGCCAAAAACGAAAACAATGAAAAAAAATAGTAAAGTTTATAGGGAAAAGCGAGTTACATTACAAACAAATTCACAGAGAACAGTTGAAGAAACACCCCAACCAAGTCCTGCACCATCTTTACAGCACAGAGCAGAGAATTTGTCTGCTCTCAATAGACGTGGCATGCGCAAACGGCGAACTATTCTGTACGCGAAGATTAAAAGTTTGGAAAATAAAGTAAGGAACGCAGTAAATCTTTCTTAAAAAATAAGAAGAGGTGTTCGAGATTGACAACTAAAAATACTGATCCAGAAGCCTGTCAATGGACCTCAAGAATATCTATGAAGATCTTGGAAGTAAACATGGAGAACAGAAAAAATATTACAAAATGTTGAAGCTGCAATTGGTACAATTGATTCAAATTGTAGATCGGAACATCTTTTCAAAAACGATACGTACAAAAAGAGCTGTACTCGTAAAGTTAGCTCCAAAATGCTGAAGGTTAAGGGTGATGTTATTCATTTCTTAGAGAATGATAAAAATACGAGGATGTGCCCAGGGAAGAAGCTCTCTGAAGTATAAAACAAATCTCAATACAATATTAATAAATTAACTTATATTTCTTATTAAAATTCAGCATCAGATTATTGTAAAAATCATTCGTACATCCTATCAGTCATTCCCTCATTTCATGTTTTTTTAAAAGTCATTTTTCTACATGATATACACAAAAATATGTTGGTCCTTCATTTTCAACGAACCTCACTAAACTAAAACTATATATTTTTGCAAAAAAGGATATATTTTCATTAATCTTTTTAAGAAATGCAAAATTAAATTTCTAAATTTGTTGAGAAATACCCAAGTATTTTTACCTTTCGTGGTTTGTGCTTACATTAAACTGAATAAAATGATTTTATTTGTTCAATTCTCCTGGGATAAAAATTCTGACTACCTTCTAAAATTGTTCAGATATTGAACATACAAATTACTGACAACTTGTTTTCATCATTATAAGAAAACCTTATTTGGTGTGTGCTGGCTTCGGCCGGATGCCGGTTGCATTCACAAGTTACACTTAGACTATTCAAAAATTTTAATACACCTTTTAAGAAATGGTTTTACGGATATTTCCCCATAACATCAGAATGTTTACATTTTTTTTTATAAAAGAGCGTTTACCCAAGGTACTCGATCAAATTTTGCAATGGCTTCAGGATACGATATGAACGCCAATCCAGTCCCACCATATTTAACAACCTCTTCAACTCCCACGTTCATTTTATCTGCCAAGTTACCCAATATGCCAAATATTATTAAGCCAGCTAATACTGAAGTGAAGGTATCCAGAGTTGTTACAACCATTGCGTCTCTGAAAATGAATAGAACGATTAAAATCAAGCAATTAGATTTCCCTTGCATATACTTAAAGTAGTAAACTTTTTGGTAACCTACTGACAGCAAAACTAAAGACATGTCCATGGAGCTGTTTATTGTTTACTTAATTTTTTGGATTTGGTGTGAAGGATAAATTGGATACGGTACTGCTAATTCATCTTATTGCCATAGTCCATTTTGTTTAAAATCTATGTGTCTTACATTCTCTACGTTGAGGAAAAGTGGTACAATTTAAAACTTACAAGTTTTCAATAATAGCATTAAAACGTATTAACATTATTTTGAAAATGTATAACACGTCGGACCCAAAAAAAAAAATGGAAGAAGGGGACAATCTATAAGAGGAAGCAGTCATATGGCTTACCTGTAGACATTGTGTCTGAATTCATTGTAAGATGCGTACATGGAAACTGATCCAAATCCTATGTTCAGTGAAAAGAAGCATTGTACAACAGCGGAATACCAAACCTAAAATACATTTAAGCTTGATACCAACAAATATTTCTGTGCTCGGTAGCAAAATACTGGGTGTTTGGTGCATCGTTTGCCAAATTGAAATGGCGGTCAGGGGAGGTCTTTCTCTATCACCCCAGGTCCCTCAAACAGATTTTAACCCAATGGCATTAATTATCAGCGGAGCAGTATCATCTGTCTCTCTCTTGAACGTCGGCTCCACACGTTGGCCCCAATGTTGGTACCAACGTTGGTCGGTTAAGTTGGTGAAGCGTCCACACGTTGGTTACTATACTAGTTCCTTTCTGTCAGAGCCAATGTGAAGATGTCCGACACCGAAACCAAAATTGCTCTAAGCGCTTTTACGGTACTGATGAGTGCATATAATTTATATTTGTTGATGTTTAACTTACCTCTGTATTGATTGTGTATGTATCTGTTTTATCATAAATCGGAGCAAGAAAGCTGTCCATTAGATCATAGGCGAACCAATTCGGTTTAAAAATATCATCCACCGATGACCCAGAACGAGTAGAGTCCAAAATTTTCTTTCGAGATAGGCGATATGTGCTCATCAATGATTCTCGTTTCTTTTTAATTCCTCAATGGAATAAATCATTTTCATATTCTGTTGAATATTGCGCCATGCATCGGCTACTAAATTTCTATTTTTATGGTCCTTGCGAGAGGCGTTCCATATTATTGGATGCGCCTGGTATAACTCTAAAAATTCTACAACTTTTTCGTTTGTCCACGCGGGTAGCGATGTTGTTGATGACATATCTCCACATACGCACCCGACGCGTGTTACAACAAGACTGAGCCAGAGAGCCAATATGTGGACGGATTGCCAACGTTGGCGCAGATTCCTTTGATAAAACCGACAATCTACAGCCAACTACCAACGGTCGCTCCAACGTTGGGGCCAACGCTATTTTCTAGATACACACGTTGGGCGAGTGGCGTTGGGGCCAACGTTGGGGTCAACGTGTGGAGCCGGTGTTACTAGTTGAGCGGCTGACCGACAGGGACGACGTGGGTCCATTTTTCCATCGAGGTTCGTCCCTGCTGGCTGCCTAACGCTTTTGTTACTTCGACGTAGTGCCGCGGTACTGTGAGCAATAATGTATCAAAAGGTGTTGTAGTGCGACACAATGTTAGCATCGATGAGAGGATTTTGGCACTTGTCGAGGAAGATCCTACTCATCCTACAGCATCCGAAATGTAGCTTTATCAGTGGAAATTTCAATTTGGAAAGTGTGGAAGGTACTTCGCCAGAATAATACATAGTTTCCACTACACTCCTGTATAAGGTACGTAATCTTTTTATCACACTTACAACTGTCTGCAATAGAAACTTCTTATCGCTTTTATTTAGCATGTAGCGGCGGCAAAGTAATGTTACCCGTATTTTTTTGATTGCAGGTCTTGAAAACAATGACTTCGACAACCGAGTTCGGTTTTGTCGTTTCTTCCCGCACACAGACGTGGTCGATCCGGACTTTTTGACAAGTATTCCGTGGAAGGACTATTCCAAATTCACCAAGGAAGGGATACTAAATTTGCACAATCTGTACCATTGGGCTTCAAAGGATCAGAACCCAAAAGTGAAAAGGCCAAGCTCTTTTCAGAGAAGATTCAGTGTGAATGTTTGGGCAGAAGTAATTAGCGATCATGCGATTGGGCCACATTATTTACCAGATCGTCTTAACGGAGATAACTATCTACATTTTCTGCAAAATAAGTTGCCCGAATTGGTGAATGAGGTGCCAATTTTCAATGGCGACAGACGAATTGTGTTCCAACATGATGGCTTTCCTGCACACTGGAGGCTAATTGTGCGGGAACATCTAAATGATGTTTTTCCGAATGCGTGGATTGGACGAGATGGTCCTATTCCATGGCGTGCACGCTCCCCAGAGCTAACTCCATTGGATTTTTACATCTGGGAGCGTGCAAAAGCACTCGTCTACGCGACAGAAGTTGGAACAAGGGATGAGTTGATCCGAAGAGTAGAAGAGGCGTTTGGTACGATTCGGCAAGAAAGTCGCCTACGTACGACAACAGTAGAGATAAGATAAAGGTGTCGTGCGTGCGTACGCAGTAGAGGACAAACATTCGAACAAGATTTGTGAAACAGAAAAAATAATAAATGATTGAAATTTGTTTTTACAGTTTTTTTATTTTCCTTCCCCTGTACACAAAATTTGCAAATTCAATAAGTTAGTTTAACTTTTTTGTGGCTTGTGGCATGCCGTTAGAATCGGGATAAACTACGCTTTTTGTTTTTGTTTATACAGAAGTTTAACATTGAGACTAACATTGTTTGTTCTTCTTTGTAACCCTTTGTGAGTTTATAAATAAGAAACTACATGCTGCTGGCAAGTAATGTTGATGTTGTAAGATTGGTACAACATCACCCATTAAGATAAATTAATCATTAGGTGGGCATACTTTATTTTTATTAATAATAATTAATTCCGTTGGGCTAAAAACTGTTTGAGGTAATAGAAAAAGACCTCCTCTGTCCGCCATTTTCAATTTGGCAAACGATGCACCAAACACCCTGTATACTAATACATTATTCACATTTGAATTCAGATGTTCAAGTTTGCAGTCTTGTTTCCAAATACAAGACTTCTACCAAGAAATATTTTCTCGTAACCTCTGATATCAATTATTTTATGGCAGCCTTACCTTAGCAGTTTTCAACATTTCCCACTTTGGCTCAACAAAATACAAAATACCTGTTCCCGCTCCTGATAAAGTTACAGCTCGTATTAGCAGTGCAGCAAGGACAACGTAAGGGAACAGAGCTAGAAAGTACGATGCTTTTCCTGATGAATGTACACCTTTGGCACAAACAGCAAAAACCACAATCCAACAGAACAGTAGGCATAAAGTTAGCCTCCATTCTGGCAAGCCAATGCCCTCTGATATGTCGTCCCATTCCTTCAGTACTTCTGCTCTGCAATAAATCACGTCAAATAGGATGACTATGTCATTTCCGTTAGTTATATTGAATCTTGAGAACGTGGTAGGCAGACGTTGACTTTTAATGAATGGAGATGAAAAAAAATAGGAGAATTTTTGATTTTAGTGTCCAAGCTATTCCAAAATGTCACAGTGGGTTAATACTACGTGCTAGGTATGTTTCTTAAGTCTCTTGGTTGTTTTACCCAATAAGAAGACTATATATATAATCTACCCATCATTATCAATTGGCCTGCGTTCTTCCCTTTTCACTTAGTCATAACGTAACAATGATTTTTTTGTCCTAAAATCACTGCAAGGGTGTTAATGAGCCGTATTCATAAAACAAAGGATATCCTTGAACTTGCAAATTTTGAAGGAAGTCCTCCAGATGATATTTGTAATAATTTGAAGTAAATGCTTTTGCTTTTTGAGTATAAGCATATCCTTCAGAGCAGTGACATAAGTAAAAGGATATTCATAATCTTCACCTTATACTTGGTACAGGAACCATATTCTTCAAAAATTCTGAGTGTCGTCAGTAGCAGACTCAACTTCGTAACGAAAGGTCGTGACTTCAAAAAAATATATCGGTTGGACGAAGCAAATGTACAATGGCTTGTGGACAGATTTTTAGTTGAGAATGAGGAAACTCGAGGAGGAGCACTTTCATGTATTCATAAAATGAAGACTATGTCTACGCTATCTCGGTGACCCTGAATATCAACAAGGTATTGGTCAGGAACTTGGTGTTATTCAAGCAACGGTATCTCGGACTGTGGATAGAGTTGTGTACAGCATAGTTGCACAGTCGAACGAATGGATCAAGTTTCCAAATACCAACCATAAACTGATGCAGGCCAAGCGGATGTGGCAAAGCATGTATAAATTTCCGACAGCAATTGGTGTAATTGATTGTACACGTATAGGAATCCTGAAACCAAATCGCCATGTAGATGAGTATATCAACCGAAAAGGGAAACCTACTTTAAATGCAAGCCACTTCTGATGCCAGGGAGATGTTCACAAGTGTTGATGTCAGTTAACCTGGATCAGTGCATGATTCCAGAATATGGAGAAATTCACAGACTAGAACACAACTAATAAATAAAGCAAATGTTGTACTACTTGGCGATGACGGTCATGGTATTGAGCCATGCCTCATGACTGCCTTCATAAATCATACTCCAGGTGCAGAAATAAATTATAATAAGCTTTTAAAACAAGAAAGAGTTATAATTGAACGCTGTTTCGGCCAACTGAAACGCCGATTTCCTATCCTACATTATGCCCCGTAAAGTTGGAAAATGTGCCGAAAATAATTATTGCTTGTATTGTACTCCATAATGTTGCGAAGAGCTTGGGCGTTCCTGACTCTGAGCTAGTTGAACAAGACCCTGATGAAGATGAAGGAAATCATGAGAATGACGAACTTCCTCTTCGCTAACTAGGTCAACAAATAAGAAAAAACTTGAGTATTATATATATATATATATATAAATAGTTTTACTATTAGTATTTACTATTTATAATGTATAATATATTTTATTTTCGTGAACATAATAAGTTACAGGTGGCTTCTGATGCTGCATCATTTCTAATTTCGTTTTATAATACTCTTGTTGTAAAATACTTGTTTGATACTGCTGTAATAGCACTAGATATTGCAGTTTTTTTATACTTAACCCTTTGGTTTCCTCAGTTTTGTATTTCTCTGTTGCTAATTTTCTTTTTGGTGGCAAAGTCTTCTGAATTTCTGGCGCTGTAATACTAACTGTTTGCTCACTGCGCTCGGTATATAGTTCACTTCCTTCTTCTTGAACACTACCAATCTGAATGGCACATCTAATTTTCCCAATTGTACTATTTCAGTCACCTTCCATAGCTTTCAGCAACTTTCTTTCCCAATCTAACAATTTAATTGCTTTATTACCAGTTTTTTGTAGATCTGTTTTTTTCTTCAATCTTGATTTGATGTTGTTGATTTCTTTTAATAAGCCTTCAGCATCTAATGGTTTACCGAATACTGATTCGTATTTTTTCAACATCTGCTTCAAGGCATCGTCCTTTCTCATTTTTATTTTTGGAACTTGTGACTTTTGCAAAATAATGGGAGCAATGGCAATTTCAACATTTGTTTCCTCATTACTTGAGTATGACATGCTTATTAATTTGATAACAAAATGTATCCAGTAAAAATACGGAACGGTCTGTGTAAGCTCTGGAGTACAACTGTCAGTGATGCTGAGTAAACGGACTCCCACGTCAACTACAAGCTGGAACAAGTCAGGACATGTCGCTCAAGATACAAATACCAGTCAACCTTTTACTTCTTCTTCGAGGATATCCTAGCGAGTATAAGGTAATCATTATGAATATGAAAACAAGGATATGATCATACTTCTACCTTTTCCTCCGAAGCGAGACCTTATACTTTTAACTTATGCTCCCGAGGATATGCTTCACTTTTATGAATACGGCTCAATGGTTACCTCGTATATGTGAATGTCCGTACAAATTAATTCCAACGAAATATTATAAACAAGTTTTTCAAATACAGATTTAGTTTTCCTGTCTCCAATACATCTCACTGGCTTCAAGCAACAAGGGCCAATTTATTGTCTTCTTAGAACGTGTGCTGGAGATATATCACAAAGTTTTACTTGATTCCATTGATATTTATATGCTATTTCTTTACCTGAGAGTAAGATTTCTTTCGATTTGGCGATGATTGGGAGTTTCAAGAGACTCGCATGATTTTGTGTACAAATTTGATAATTTTTAGGGTTTGTCGTTTTGTGGTCACAAAGTTTATCTGACACCACTGAACAAAAAGCCAAAATTGAAATTCACTTGACAATAATCTATAGCTTCTCCACTTTGTACAATACGAAATACTAGATTTTTTATTACCGTTACGCATGTGGAACCAAGGCTTGATGAATGGTAAAATAAATGAAAGGACGCTTCTTTTGAATGAATAAATAACGTCACAATTCGACATACTGTGTATAAAGACAATGAAAACAAGCATAAAGTAGGTTGTCATGCAGTTGCGTAAATACAAAAAGCGTGCTACTATTATTATTAATAGGTTATTTCCCTTGAGCTTGACTGTGATGATATGATACCATGTTAATTTATTTTGTCATAGGGAGGTGTAGCTTAGTATGTTGATAGGTAAAATATGCCTCACAGTAGATGACAAGATGATAAATGTAGGATACGAACGAGAGATTATAATAGAAATATAACGATAAACGTGAAAACATCTCATCTTAGAAGATTTCTAAATACCACCCCGTACCATTTCATTTTTACTACATGGGCAGTACATAAACAATTCGATATGTCAGGGTAATATTAAAGTCACTTACTTGGTGACGAATTGACAACGAGTTATCCTCCTTTGGCAAGCGATAAGGATGATATGATCGGATTTTCGAGGCGAATATCTACTTTTAGAAAAATGACTTGAGTACCTCCCATATTCAACCGACTCATAACATGCACCACCTTAGGATTACATTAATTATCCGCAATGGTACCAATTCATCATTATTTACTTTTGATTTATCATATACTGGTCCGCAGACCCTAAGAGCCACCTGGGACACACAGACCCTGGGACACACAGTCTCCCACTTAGGCAATTTTAAGCACACAGCAGCCTATGTGATCAACATAGGTTTAAGCACACAGCACCCTATGTTGGCACCCAGGCATACGCCTAGACATGCTGAGTTCAACGATTGTTACGAAAAGCAGTCCAGGATCCAGGATATCACGTTGGCCAACGGCCGTTGTACAAATATGCAAAGGCTCCGACATTACCTCTTAATCAAAGATAACCGAGCAAGATGAGAGCTTTAGAATAACAATCTCTACGCACATCCTACCATGAGATAAGTTCAGATGGCAGAGATTGCCAAGAGAAGATAGTTAAGCCGTCATTCAGACCTAGGACGCCACTTCGGCCAAAGGCCACCGTGTCAACATCCCAAGCGCTCCGATAATTCCCCTGATAGAGGAAACCGAGCATTAATTAACTGAACCACCTAAACCCAGAAATCGGGTACCGAAAGTCCCATAACAACCCCCAGAGACTGGAGGAGTCACCAATGTATGAGCCACCTCATTTCCCTATCCTTATCCGCAACTATTGAGTCCGTAAGCCATTGATAGAAATATGAATACATGATCCAAGCAGGTTTATAAATATGGATATATGCTCAAAGCATCTTTATAAATGTGGATATATGATCAGAGCCTCTTTATAATTATGGATATATAATCAAAGCATCTTTTTGAATATGAATATGCTCAAAGCATCTTTATAAATAGGGCTACACGATCAAAGCTTCTTTATTGTTCAAAACATAGGTTAATCGTGAGAGTTCTCAACCATGTACAACTGTTTCATGCTTACAAAAAGAGCAAAAAGTGTAGGTGGTATAAGGTCTATACAGCAGAAGTGTCATCTTCTACCACAATCGACCACTGCAAGAGTGAATGATAGCTATCTGTTGGAATTGTAAAGTATCCCGGTCCGCTCGATGCCGTCGATTCTGGCGATATAGTAGATGTGGTCAACTTGCCATTGAAAACTAATAATACTGCTATCATTCGTCAGACCAAACAGAGCGCCAGCCGAGTAGAGCTGTTTCATACTTATTGGCAATCATAGGCTCGTTCTAGGCAGATCTGTAAGAAGGACACGACTTTTGATTTTTTACAGTTCCGACAGATAGCTGCTCATTCATTTCTCGAAATGACCAATTCTAGTAATAGATGGCACTCTTGATATCGTATTTTTAACAGAGACCTACCTAGACCGTGCTAATGATTGGCAGTAAGCAGGAAATAGCTGTACATGGTTGGCGCTCTGTTTGGTTAGACGGACAATAGCAGTATTATTAGTTATTAATGGCAAGTAGACCACGTTCAGATAAAATAATGGTTTCCTTACCTGAACCACATTTCTGCTGAACTAATAGTGACGTTGGCTGTGGTCGCTCTTCCATTTGATGGAACACATTCCGCGTCCTTAAGCCATGTTGTATTCGCCCAAGAGGGATCGCACTTGGCCCATGGAAGGTTTGCCGTAAAAGAATTTATGAGGTAAAATAGTGTGATGGCCATCAAAGATGCGTAATAACTGGCGACACACATCGTGCCTATTAGTTGACCGTAACCCAGTCCTTCAAAGAGAATTTCTTATTATATGTATATGATTGTTTAGGCATAGTCTAAAATCTTCGTTCCGTGCATTTTTTTGACTATTTAAAAAATGTTTTCATTTTCCAAAAATAATTCAGGCAGCTGTGTACTCCTAGCCGACTTTTCTACAGGGTGTTTTCAAAAGGTGGGATAAAAATTCAAAGGATATTGTTTTGACCATCCTAAAAAAATTGTTTTTCAGCGATGTTCAAAGAACTGCCTACAGGTCGATAGTCCTTATTATCGAAAATTATAATGTTAATATGCAAAACATTTTCAAAATGACTACATCCAGGTGGAATTGTACCCAATGATGTTTTTTCCTTGTCGTAGATTGAGTAGTTTCTGATCTCCCCCCGTATTGTCGTTTTCTCTAGAGATTAAATTGTTACTCGCCGATACGGGTATTAATGAGATTTTTCTGGACCGTCCGCAGGCGACTTTCTGGGATTTATAACTAAATTTCACGTTTTTAGAACAGGACGTCTTGGGACCTAAAAAGTGAAACAACCCACCAACACTGCATTGCTGTCCACTGGTTGTAATCTTCATATAGTGCTTTCATAATTTATCAAAAAATCGATTTCATTGCCTTGGTGCCTTGAGAAAAATGACATGGATCTTTTTTGGTGATATATGGTCGCTTAAGCCATGCAAGCGATACTGAAAGACATTAGAATTAGTCTTTATAGTTAAATTATTGTGTCACAAACTAGTCAGTGTGTACAGAACACGAGAGCTTTAGAGGTGTTTTAAAACGTCGTGGGCCGTGACCGTTACATTATGTGGATGCGCAGAAGACAGATATTAGAACGGCGGGAAGAATATTACCCTAACCACAAATATAGACTTTTTCGAGGCAGACCGTCTGACACACTGGCACGGTGTTACCAGGTCTACCGATTTTGGTTCTGGTCTACCGAACTACCGATTTTAAAGCAAAATCTACCGAAAAGTAGACTTTTCTTTCAATTGAATAATTTTTGTTCCCTATATAAGAGAAATATTTCTGATGCATAGCGGTAAAAAGAATGACAAAAGTACTATTATGATTAGTACTAGACCAGATATATTTTTATTCTCTTTGCCTGATATTGGTGTGCCACGTACGCTGATTCTTCGCATCTGAAGATACTCGATGTTTTGGCTACATCGCCTAGGCCTGGCGGCTCGTGACAAGTCCATGATTCTCGTTGATCGACAAACGAAAGTGCGCGAAGTAGTAGAGGTCGTAGGTGTGCCGACCGGAACAGCAATAAATATTTTACATGATAAGTTGGCTATGAACAAATTGTCGGCACGATGGGTGCCGCGATTGCTCACGGTGGACAACAAGCGGATGCGGCGAAGTACTGTTTGGATCAATTTAAGCGAAACCCGAAGGAGTTTTTGCATCGGGTTGTGACCGTCGATGAAACCTGGATTCATCATTACTCACCAGAAACTAAGCAACAATCAAAACAATGAATTTCTTCAGGTGAATCTGCTCCAAAGAATGCGAAGACGGTCCCATCGGCCGGAAAGGTCATGGCGACGGTATTTTTTGGGATGCGAACCGCTTGTATTTTTTATAAAAAGGAATAATGATCACTGGACAATACTATAGTGAGTTATTGGACCGCTTCGACAAAAAATTGAAGGAGACACGGCCACATTTGACGAAAAAAAAGGTGCTGTTTCACCACGATAACGCACCAGCACATTCATCCGGAGTTGTCGCCGCCAAACTGCATTAATTGCGTTATGAAGTGCTGCCGCACCTTCCGTATTCACCCGATCTGGCACCCTGCGACTTTTCCTTGTTCCCTGACATGAAGAAACGGCTCGCAGGGAAAACAATTATCTCAGACGAGGAAGTCATTGCCAAGACAGGCTTATTTTGGAGAGATCGACAAATCCTATTTTTTGGGGGAGTTAAAAAAATTGCAGGAACGTTGGGAAAAGTGTATCTTTATAAAAGAAAAATAAAAATAAATTTTTTGGAAAAAGTGGTGTCTTCATTTCTAACACGGGTAGTTATTGAACCGTCCTCGTACTAACAATTAACAATTTCCGAAAAAAAATAATGAAGCTGATAAATGTTAATATATGTAGAGGACTTTTTGAACGTTATGAAGCCTCAGGTTTAGTCTCTAATAATTTACCACACCATGTGAATTAATTTAATAGTACACAGAATTATCCATTGAATTTTCTCCGTGTTTTGAGAACGATCTTAATAAGATTGCCCGGCCCACTCACCTTTCAAGACGGGAGCTAAATTCTCGAATATCTTGACATTGCCTCTACTGTTGAATTGCCCCAGACACATTTCCAGGTAGTACATGGGTCTACCAATTAATACCAATACTATAAGGTACGGGATTAGAAAGGCTCCTCCACCATTTTCATACGCCACAAAAGGAAACCTCCAAATATTTCCTAAACCGACATTCATTGCTATGCACGACATCAGAAATTCTATACTCTTGCCCCATGTTGCTCTTTTTTGATTACTATTATTGTTAGGTTCGTCGGGAAGAGAATCAGTCAAGACGGCTTTCTGGAAAATAAGCATAGAATATAGAAAAAAGTTAGAAGAAATCTCTGAGAGGCATGTGGATTGTCTTAATATAGTTACTCGTATTATCTTCATACTTGAAAAATCATTCCAAAATATGCAACTCAAGAAATATAGAAAATTGAATATTATTTTAAATGATTGGCTGAACTATACTTTAGCGCATATCGCAAATATTTGATTTCTTATTTTAAAATGAGAGATTCGGATGTAACTTGCACTAAAATATCATTTTTTCTTTAAGGAACTCTTTGCTTGCTATTTTATAGATCTTCAAAGTTGCATTTTGGGTGGTAATACTGTGGTATAGAATACTGCTTTATAAGCTGTTTTCTTCTTGTTTATACAAAAGATTGTTCAAACTTATATGATTATAACATAAATTGTAAGTTACTGTGACACTTTTCATCGCAATAGTGCAATTTTGCAATATTTTAATGATGAAAATAGTTCGTTGTTATTGTTGTTTTATTTCAGATAATTATTCCCATCACTACACCACCATCACTGTCATATTCTCTCCATCTAGTTGCGATATTGCCAAATCATCGATAGTAATATACCTTAATTTGGTTTGTCAAATTCTTACTATACTAGCGCAAAAATGTGTTAGCAAAAGAGACTTTTTTGAAGAATGCCTTATGCTCTTCACAAAAATACTTCGGTTATTGTTTTTCCTATATTATAGTTATAATCTATTTACTTTTTATATGTATGTACTTGAAGAATTATTTAAAGTGAAGCTGATGTTACAAAATTAACCTAATTAAATGTGATATATATGAGAAATAACTGAAAAAGTAGCTATTGTAAATCACTAAATAATGAAAACATAACAAAAAACATTGCAAGTTTTTTGATGATTTGATGAAATGATCGTTGATCTTTATTTAACTATAATGTTGGACGATGATATGTTGGGTGGACCTGGCGAGGTGGTCCGAAGCGACGAGTCGACGTTTTGTATTTTTATATGCAATGACCGCTGGTGCCTTTTGTATTTTTTGTCACGCGAGTCGCTGGCGCATTTTCCACTGTTTAGACACATACTGTTCAAAATTTCATCTAGTTTTCGGTAAATATTGGGACAGCTTTTCATAAAACAAGCCATTTACAATAAATTAAGACTTTTATTTTGCAAATAACCTCATTTCTAACTGCGTATTTCTTCCAAAAAATGTACAACTTCGCAACAATGGACATCATTTATTTTAACTGTCAAAAAATGAGCGTTATAAAATAGTAATTGAGAATCCTTCGTACTTTGAAATATTTCTCATAAACGCAGAAACTTTGATCTCATTTAAAATATGCGAAAAAAATGGTTAAGGAATTTCAAGAAGACATTGAAAAATTACAAAACAACACCTCTACACAGTTTACCAAGTAAATACCATTTACGTATGTATTTTGACCTGTTATTTAAATTAATAAGCTAATGTGTAAACCTTTTTTTGCAAAAAAAACGGTTTTTTACAGTTTCACATCTATTTTCCTTAGTACTATACAGTGTATGTTATATTCTTATAATTTAGAGCATCATTTTGTACAAAAAGCAACAAAAGACAGCATATGAAACAATATTCTATTCTAGAGTATTACCACCAAAAATGCAACTTCCAAGTTCTATAAAATAGCAAGCAGAGGGTTCCCTAATGAAAAAATGATATTTTCGTAAAAGTGACATCCTAATCCTTCACTTTAAAGTAAGAAACGAAGTATTTGCGATATATGAGTATAGTCTTACCAAATCATTTATTAAAAATCCTATTTTGATGTCGTACATACAACGCAGGAGTTATTTTAAACATCTACCCCTCAAGGTAGTTTTTGATCTACACTTCCAGAATAACTAAAAGCAAAAATAGCAACTGGTCCTGTGTCTTATCATACATTTCATTCAAAATCCACCATAAAAGCAAGGATGCTCTTTTTTAGCTTATCACCACCAGGGATTAAAAACGTAAGCTCCATAGGGTTTTTCAGTATACGTTTGCGAAACTATCGCATTGCAGTTTTACACACCATAACGCTTCTGATGGATCTTAATGAACAGTAAACTGTCTCAGTATGCATTAAATTCCTTTAATGTTACTATTATATACCAACTAATTCGAATATGTACATTGCATTGTTTGTTACCAAAGTAGCAGCTTTGCATCAAATAATAATAATAATAATATTTACTAGAGGAAAGATCTACCTTCATTATGCTGCTGTATGCAAATTTTATTAGAAGTAGCACGTTTTGAAATCATCTAACACCACAAGCATCTGCAAAGACTCGTACATTTAAGAAATAACACTAAAGCTATGAATGTAATGTCAGAACCGTCAAAAAAATAACTTATGGTCAGGTAGACTTTGATCCTCTCTGCAGACTATGAGAATAAAGAGACAAACAAATCCTTGACGGACTTCTTCTGCCTAGTCTAAACTCGTTGGTATATACCGACTCATCCAATGTCAACAATGTAGGTCTTACTCGACCAACAAATGATTTTAAATCTGAACTGAAAATCTTCTGCTACTATTCTGCTTTACTCCTGTCCTGTCTTTTAACACAAGGGCGTACTCAAGGAAGGAGGGCGGAGGGTACAAAATAGTGATCACGCTTTTAGCGTATTTGTCAGTTTTGGACTAGGACAGGTTTGAAACTTGGGGAGCTTTCAAGCTAGAATGTACCGGAATCGGTTAGAACTCCACATTCTAAGACATGTACAGGATATGCAACACCGCGAACCGAACCACGCGACGAACGGCGCCGCGCTAGTGTAGACGGTGAAAAGAACGCCGTCGCGAACCTCATTAGCGTTGCAGCTCGCCGTTCGGCCAGATCCGCACCGGGTATCACGTATTGATGGCGACTTTTTTTGACATTATGTGGGTTACTCTACAAGATGTTAACTTAGCACTTAGTTGTACGTGTTGCCTAAACGTCATGAGTCTTGTTATCAATCTTTGGCTCTGATGTGATGTTAAATCTGCTTCTGAGATGACATTACTGGAGGTCTAAGCTGTAACTTCTATGTGTTGATAATAACTACATTGGGTTCTTGTCTCAAATACACTTAATTGAGATTCAAAGCTAGAAATTAGTTGCGCATCCACTTTTTCTTATTCATTCTGGAAATTACATATAGAAATTTGTTGAATTTCAAAAATGAGGGAGATAAGAAATAATTATATTCACTGTACACTGTCAAATTACAAGCCATATACATGCTAACAGTGATTACACACGGCCATGGCGATAATTTCCCGTAATTCTCCTCAGTTTTTCGTAATTTATAACTTTGAACATAGCCTCTCTTCAGAAAGCACAACATATAAATAACCCGTCATATTCAGCATATTCAGTAATGATTTTCTCACACAGCAAATATCACCGATTCTATACACATGCAGATCAATACACATAATCATCCAGATGCGATCTTGTTATTCAACCAACTTTCTTCTCGGAGATAAAAACTACAGACACGGATCATTCAGCCTCACAAAACTATGCAACCAGTAATGCGTGTATAGTTTAGTTGAGTGATTCCTTCGTAGATGGACGTTTTGTACGTCAGCGCAACATCAACGGAATGGCTCGCGACAAAGTTGCACATGTTTGGACACACATACTGGTGCGACGAGCACCAGTGTGTTATATTGTAATGTAAAATAATTATTTTTCTTACTTGTACGAGTATATTTTCATTTAAAACTTCCATCAATGCCCCACAAACTTCTGGAATGACGTAGGCTGATCAATTGCTTTGAAATTCGAAATATGTATTGCAAACTACTCTGTAAATCACCGGTCACTAAAACTCGCACCGTGACTGCAAGTCTTTCTTGTACTGTGATGGTAGGTCTCCATTTTGTATCTTGTCGTATTTTTGGTCCAATCAACGTGAGAAGAAATTCAAATTCCGCTATCAAATTGTTGCAACCGTGTGCTGATCTATTGGTATATACAGGGTGACTTTGAAGTTGAGTCATTAATTTTCAGATAATGATTGTAGAAGGAGGATAAACCAAAATATGTATGTAAAAATAAAAAAAATAAAAAAAAATTTTTACCTTGTTTTATAAAGTATCCTCCCGACAAGTATTTCAGTGCGGACCTGTATTTGATCGTGAGGTCTTGGAGCACCGGCATGCAGTCCTCTGTGTGGTCTTAAGTCACCTGATTCACGAGCCCGTTGTACTACATTAACAAAGGCACGAGGGGTTGGTTGCACTCGATTGGGAAACCGATCCGCATAAACATGTGCCATTTTTTATTTCGTTTGAGCCACGCAACAGACACCACTATTCAAACGCGTTACCGACTGACACTGACTGTATACAACTGACTAAAATAATTGTAAAAACATCGTTCCAAATTCTTTCGCTTTTTTGTTTCCGATGCGATGAACCAAACACGAGCACATAATATTATTATTGAGACAGGGCGGTACTCAAACTTCCAAAGGGCTATAACTTTGTTACTTTAATTTTACCAGAAAAATGGTAAAGGAAAAAAACATTTCTTTTGATCAGATCTACTCACTGTTAAAATAAATGACTCAATTTCGAAGTCACCCTGTATATAACTGCGTATTGAATATAAATATATTCTATCCATCTCCACTAGTAATCGTCTGTCAGTGAACGACAAACATCAAAATTGTTGTTCGTCAAAATGCGCGGTGTTTGTACATATCTGTACGTGGCTTAATATTCTAGGAATCTAGGATCAAAACAATAATTCCAGCTACCGACCCAGAAACATTGTGCCCTTTCCATCTTTTTTTCTGGATTTACGATTAGATGCTGATATGTGTTATCAATTAAGAGTGTCTATGATTTTTCAGAACTCGTGGGTGACAGCACTTTAAGTCTGTTTTAAAGCTTTTGGAAGTCATTTCGTGATATATAAATGTTAATTTTGTGTCAGAAAAGCAATTACACGTATGCTATATTCAAGCTCCCAATATTCTATTGTTTCACCACTCTAAAATTCAGAAAAATGACACCAAATTTGTTATGTGTATTCTTTGAAACGACGTCTTATTGGCAATTGAAGGTTTAAATTGAATATTTTTTTTTACATTCCGTTGACCATTTACGATTTCGGAAACCCTATAATCATGAAAGTCGGACATACCACCCCCATGATTTTTTATCTACACATCCCCCCCTCCTGGAGACGTAATAGGTCCCACCCGAACGCAAGGCCTACATATGCCACTGATGTTCAACCAGAGAATCTATGCTCACTGTTTGAATAAATGTTTGATCCTACTGTAAGGTATTATTTTGGTTCTGAACGTGAGGTAGCAGTTAAAGTCCAATGTACAGCCGCTAAAACAAACCTTAAAATAATAAATAGTAAAATAATAGTATAAGTCGTAATGGCCAGTTCCAAGGGTTTGAACGAGAATATCAAGCCTGGCGAGCTGATTTGGCAAAGCCGGTCATGGTAACTACCAATCAGCAATCGCAGCTTCCAAAGCATGAGAGCAGTACTCCACATCGAGACTTTTCATAGAAAGCGCCGTCATAGTGACTAACTACTATTTAGTGGCTCAAAATAAGGCATGTATAATTCTTACCGGTGTAGCTTCATCAGTTTTTGGTCCCTGTTTCTCCAGTTCAATCTCATCATTTTGATAGGCGGTGTTAATATAATATCCATCCTAAAACAACCATCAAATTGAATTTAGTGCCATCATCAATTAATCGAATCTTCACTTACAGTCATGTTTACATGAATACGATCTCGTCATGCAACTGAATCACTTGCTCATTGAACGCTGAGATTCGGTCTAAGGATTTGGCGCAACCAAGTCAAACAAGGTTTGTAAGTATATCTTGCGTATATGGTTTTACGATTCTCCGATTACCTTTATCTTTTGTTTGGAACCGCTAAGCTATATTTTTATAATCGCGGATCTATTTGTTTTTAGTTTTATTTATTGGATGGTATCTTCAGGATTCTATTCAATTCAGCCAGAAATAATCAGAGACGAGAAAAACAATTTTTTTCTAAATCTCTAAAAAAATGTATTACACAAGAAAATTTCTAGAAGGCTTGCTTACATAAACGTTAGAAACTATTTGCACGCTTCTTCCTAAATTGCATCCAAATCGGTACAACCGACAGACAGGTCGACGGAAATAAATATACAGGGTGTAGACGTTATGATAGTCGTTATTTAAATGGGTGATAGAGGGAGTTAAAAGAAGCAAAAAATTTCATATAACATGGGGGTCAAAACGGCATTTTTTTTAGAGAAAAGCGATTTCAAAGTAAAATAAAATCTGACAGCGCCGCAATGCCAGACGCAAATTACCACGGAACGCAGTGTAAATAAAGACGTTTGTTATTTTTGGCTCTTAGGTATTATTTCATTATTTGATAGTGTACTCGTAAAATGCAAACAATTAAAAAAACGGACTTACCACTAACTGTCTCAGCGCTTCACCTGATGTGTGAAAGTTTATTGAACGTATTAAACAAATCCATTTATAAATAGGGAACACAATTTTGATACATTGTTTTTCTTTTCTAAACCCACACTGCACTTTTTTTGTATTTAAAGAAGGTGTTCAAAATGTCGTCCTCCGCTTTCCACACAAGCTTCATTACGACGAACTCAGTTTCTTCTTACTTTAGGTCCTCGAAGTTTTCCATTTATTATTTCAGCCGCATTAATTTTTTTTGCGACGTTGTGCTTCATTTGTTATTGGACCAGCCCCATAAGCCATCCCTTTAAGTTCTCCCCAGTACCAGAAATCCATCGGATTGAGGTCAGGAGATGTTACTGGCCATTTTCGAGGATCAGGAGCATTTCGACCGATCCAGCGATTTGGATAATGTTCATTCAAATACTGAATGACGAATCTAAAATTGTGTGGTGGTGCCCCGTCATGAAGAAACCACAAATTCTGTCTCCGTTGTAATGGCACCTTGACTAAGGTCTGTTCCAAAAGTTCTGGTAGGTCATTGGCTAGATAGCTAAGGTATCCTTCTCCTGACAACTTTGGGGTATTTCGAAAGGGTCAGTCACCTGATCGTCAAGAATACCCGCACAAATATTTATTTTAAACCGTTGTTTTAAATGACCTTCATGAATCCTATGCGGATTTTCCTGAGCCCACCAGTGTGTATTATGGAAATTTAATATCCCGTCTCGCGTAAAAGCATAATGCAAAATATATGTGTACGGTTTATCAAAGGCCTAAGAAATTTCGATCATGTATCACACTTGTATCGTAATCTTGCATGGTTATGCGTTCAAAACCTTTTCAAATACTCCATTCCCAGCTTTACTCCCAGAATCATACTAACATCATCCCCTCAATACCTCAGCTGTAAACTTGTTCCAAGGGCGTCTGTGCATAATCTTCAGATTCGTAACCGTGAGACCTTAACTATACATCACAATAGCTTAGGCCAGGATCTGAAGACTATCCAATCTTCCCGGAGTTTTAAAGCACAGTTAAAAGAATATTTACAAGAAATTCAAAACAACCTCTAGCTTAAGAAGTTCTTTCATATTTTCTTCATAACCTTTTATCTCTTCGTCTTTTTATAGCTAAATTGGCATTAATCGTTCTATTATTCTGTGACTTAATCTTTGTAGTTTCACATTTTTTGTTTTTGTATAACTTGTTTTTCACTTTTGTACGGAATTAGATGGTGGAATAGCAGGTGCTAAATCTCGCTTCCTGTAATGTAAAGATCACTAGACACTTAAATATTTGTCATCAAATTATTTGGAGAATTTTAGTGGATTTTTTGTTATATCCTTATCATATTTTAAGAGTACAGGCATTACTTCCCATTGATTTTCCAAGGCGTGTGACCTTTTGTCAGTGGTATCTTCAAAAAATTACACAGAATTCGCAATTTGAATCAATGATTCTGTTCACGGACGAAGCTAATTTTTCTCGAAATGCAATTCAGAATTTCCACAATAATCATTTGTGGACAGAAGAAAATCCCTATGCCGTAACCGAAACCCATTTCCAACACTAATTTTCGGTTAACGTAGGTATGGGCAGGAATTATTGGCAACCACTTTATTGACCCATTCTTCTTGCCGGGACGACATGACGGACAGACTTACCTCAATATTCTTCAACAACAGTTGCCTTTGCTGCTTGATGATGTTCCGTTAGTAATGAGAAAAAATATGTGGTACATGCATGATGGTGCATTTCAGTGTAGCGGTTCGTAATTATTTACAAACTGTTTATCCAAATCGTTGGATTGGCCGCGGTGAGCCCCAAGAATGACCACCAAGGTCCCCAGACCATAACAGTTCAGATTTCTTTCTGTGGGGCTATCTTAAGATACTAGTGTACACAAGTCATATTAAAACTGTAGAGGACTTAAAAGAAAGAATAGTTGCAGCTTGTGATAGAATAAAAAACACTCCAGGGACATTTCAACGAGTGTGCATGAGAAGGAGGGCGGAAGCATGCATACTAAGTGGAGGGGGCCATTTTCAACCATTTCGTTGGTTTTAATATTATGTTTATGTTGTCAGTTGTTGTTGTTCATTACCCCTAATGTATTTAATTTTTAAAATTAAATTAATAATAATATTGCAAGTTAGACAATACCACGGTTTTTTATTTTTTTACTCAAAAATGGCGCATCGAAGGAAAGCAACTCAGAAAAGATCATTTATTCTAAATTGAACGGGGAATTCAAAAATAAGTTTAATTTGGCAAAAAACGATTGGCGTACACTTTGTTTCTTAAAAATATCGAAGTCAATATCCGTACGCACGCCACTGTTAAAGCTAAAAACTATTTTTGCATTGAAATATATGCAACTTTATAAACTTTCACTATGTACTAAATATCAGTAAAATATCTGAAGCGGTTCTGAAAATATTAATATCCATTTTTTTCCTAAAACCCGAGTTTTTGTGAGGAAACATTTTTGGATCACAGTTTATAAATCAAACTAACATTAGATTTTCATGTAGATTCACACCCTTAAATATTCGCATATCATTAAGGAACACACTGTATAATGATAAATAAATATTCGAATTTGAATTCGAATGTTGTAACTTAAATAAAATGATATTGTCTGGAAGATCGACCCTCTATACTCACGTCTTCGTTACAGGTTCTGATACAATTTTCTAAACTTCTCCATCGCAATCTAAAAAAAAAATCTTTGTGACAATGGCAAAAGCATGGAAAAGATATCTTTCGCGCATAACATGGTAGCAGCATTATATCAAAATGTCATTTTGGAAGTTCTCTACATTATAATTCTTCCTTGTCGATTAGGGTGGGAAATAAATGGAACAAGCTTTGTAAAATTCTAAAAAAAGTTGACAGTCTGCGTTTCTCTTTAGCAAACACACTGCCTCAAACCATTTGTTGAACAATAACCATTACAACAAACATTAAAATACGATGGGTCAACTTATCGAAGGATTTGCTAAAATCCATGCAAATAACATCAACATTTCGACGCGCGCGTCATCGTGCGATTTTGTACAGAGTGGTAGTTTAACGGCCGTATGTAACGACATTAAAATTTCTGCAAACGTCCCGGAAGTATAAATTAGAGTAGATAGATAATGGTTCGCTTACTCCAGTTATCGTTGATGTTTCTATGTTATAAAAGATTTTACTGCAATTATATCTTTATGACCCTTATTTAGCTGAATCATCTAATAAACTAACCAACTACAAAAGGCAATAAAGCTAAAGCGGGATCAACAGAAACGATACCTGTATGTACATAATATCTCGAGTGAATGTTTTTTCGCTAAATAAAATTCGCTTTTATTGGCCTCCACGACACAGAGGAAAAGCTAATAAATCTACTGGATCGACGAACCACCCTTTCTAAGGAAATTAATTCTGCTTTCTGAATGAAATGTTATGATGTGTTTCTTGCTCATAATTTTCTTCTGTGTCAAAAGTTTAGCAAGAGCAAATCTGTACCCCAGAGCCAGACTAGGATGAGTCCATTTTTGTCAAAAATGAATTCCATATATTAAGCTTGTGATAATGTTGTGAATTTTCATGTGCTACTTGCAGCGTCTATCTATCTGTAATAATATGGAAGTTTTTTAACTCATTTCAAGTCTCATACAATACAATACAAGAAAAATATTTCAAATTCAATTATCTCAAAACTACTTGTTAGGACTTAACCTAGTCTGACTCTGAGGTACAGAAATGAGTCCTGCTATGTGATGTCACCCAGCTGGACGAAAAGGTTGTCTTATATAGAAAAACATGTTTTTTTTTTCTTTTATCTGTTGGTGCAGATAATAACACTTTGTTGAATTATTATTATGTTGTGTTAATTATAACTTCTTAAGAAGAAAATTTCATATAAACCTGCACTACAGGGTGACTTTGAAGTTGAGTCATTAATTTTCAGATAATGATTGTAGAAGGAAGATAAACCAAAATATGTGTGTAAAAATAAAAAAAAAATAAAAAAAAAATTTTACCTTGTTTTATAAAGTATCCCCCAGACAAGTATTTCAGTGCGGACCTGTATTTGATCGTGAGGTCTTGGAGCACCGGCATGCCGTCCCCTGTGAGGTCTTAAGTCACCTGATTCACGAGCCCGTTGTACTACATTAACAAAGGCACGAGGGGTTGGTTGCACTCGATTGGGAAACCGATCCGCATAAACATGTGCCATTTTTGATTTCGTTTGAGCCACGCAACAGACACCACTATTTACTCACGCGTTACCGACTGACACTGACTGTATACAACTGAATAAAATAATTGTAAAAACATCGTTCCAAATTCTTTCGCTTTTTTGTTTCCGATGCGATGAACCGATAAGGCGGATTATATCCGTTGTTGCCAAACACGAGCACATAATATTATTA